TTCAACGTTACTTCGTGCTGCGGCACGTGTGCTTACGCAAGTGGCGCGGAGTAGAGATGAAACTGACTGAAGAGATGCTGTGCCTAAGGTGAACCATGATTGGATGACGTAGAAGGGCGCGTGTGGCTTTACACGCGTATACGGTATAGGCTGCTGGAGATACTTCAGGCACTGGAAGGTAATCGTGCACACTAGCTGCGACGGGGAAGGCATTCACCAGGAGACGGCGGTTTGAAACGGCAACATAATACCCTAGCTGGAGGGTAGAGTTATCGATCGTACTATAAGCACTTAAGAGCGTGCCGACGTTAAAGCCCATATCGGAATATAGGTAACCTTTGCCCCTTGCATTAGCTATCGAACCGCACAACCAATCAAGTTCTTTTGCTGGCTTCGTTATCGTCCCATTTTTTACCTGTATGATATATATACGTATGTGCAGTCTAACACTGGAAAGACTGTTGTGTGACTCAGGGGCTTTGACAATAAAAAATAAGGGTAAAAGAAAAAACCAATGCTGCTGGCGCCAATCTGTGTGGATCAGGACTGTTTCCTTCCTTTTTTTATTTTTTCGATTATTCTCTCTCGGATTATATTTCGTTCTAGTTTATTTTCGGAGGATATCCCATTTCTTGAAATATACATTTTTTAATACGGTATGCAAGACTATTCTAGTATAGGCGCGCATGTTTGACAGTTCTCGTGTTCTTTTTATCGTTTTATCGAGCAATCAGAATTTTCATCGTACATCTCCTGGCATCATATTTATGGTGCAGCGATGAGTTTTTGTGACTTCTTAAAAATGCAAATACAGGTTTATGGTCGCATCGCCAGCGATATTGAAAAAGCTATGGATATCTCTCGTTCCCTCGTTGGCATTCGATAGAGCCGGTCAGATATTCGGACTCAATTCCTTTATGATAATTCAATTCTGCTCTTCACGCTTTTTTCTTCCTCTTCGCGTTCCTTTTTCTCTCTCTACTTTTCTATATTCCACTATGGCGACCTCTTTACTCCAGACATATCGAGGACTCGTGTCGGACCTACTGGCGTCCAATATCAAGAGACTCGCTCGAGTCTCGCGCCAAGTGCAGGCTGGATGGTTATTCTCCTGAAATGCCGATGTATCGCAAACGTAGTACTCTCTTATATTGTTGCATATCTCAATTGATCAGTCGGGAGCTGAATTTATTGTACCAATAGCTCATACAGAATTAAAGATACGGAAAACTTGACAATGAGACAATAGCACAGACTACTCGAAGAAATATGCTCGGCCCAACCAAAGAATTAGGAGAAGTAAGACAGGCACGATGGAAAGTGAACGAGAACTAAGTAGAAGGAAAGAAATAAAATAAGAAACAAAAATAAAAGTATAATATATATACCAGAGCCCTTCTTCACCTAAGGGTGGATATTCCTGTCGCAAATGCATCCCATTTTTCTAGCTGCAGGAATTCCAGAGTCCGCAAGACATAATAGCATCCTCCGAATCGTTATTTCTGAATGCCCGGTACACAGTAGATTACTCACCCCAATATATCGTTATACCTATATACACCCTTCATAATCTATCCGTATCAATTTATCTTGACCGTATCGAATCGCCTTGGTGAGCGAGTTTCTTATATTTTTATCCCTACAGCCTCTGGACCACTCACTCTCTTCCGTATTTTTCCCTAGAAACAATCTTCTCTCAATTCGCTCTCAGCACTCTGGTCCACATTATCCGATTATTTCTCAGATCCCAACCCCTCCAATATCATCCCTTAACCTTAGGCCCTGCATTTCCACAACTAGGTATACGGCAGACTCTTCCATACGGCGATATAACGATTGGTGCGTTGTGACGACAGGACTTTGTTAGTATTATTATTGCGTCGGGACGCTCTTATCTAACGAATTGAGCTCATCAATCAAGTCTCTCCGGAATACAAGAATTTTCTTGGTTTATATTCCGCAATGGTATAATGACGTTTAATATTGCAGGATATTGCTGCTAATTTTTGGATGCAGCTGATTTTACGTAAAACATTACATTTAAATGTATGGTAATGAACGATAATTAATAATATAATGATAAATAATAATAATTAAATAAAAAAGTGCAGCGTCGACTTGTTTTGAAAAAAAAGAGTTATTGTGTGGCTGAACAAAGGGCGCTTGCTATATTACTATATTTACTAGTCCTCATATAGTATACCTACTGGTCAAAATTGTTATTGATAAAGTCGCAGGTCACAGTTGTTGTTGTCGTAGTGACTCTGAGTAGTGGGAATCGGCGGGGAAGGTGAGGGAGGGAAATCGCCAGGTACTGAGATCGAGTGTATTGGCTGAGACCCCTCATTCCGTCGCGGACCGTATACAGTATCGGGCGTGTGAGTTTTTTAAATTTCATTCTCTCTCTCTCTCTCTCTCTCTCTCTCAATCTATCTCAGTGTTACCTATTTTCCCAATTTCTTCCGCTGGGCTATACCTTCTTCGTGATATCACTTTGGTATCGCAGTAAACTCCGCAGCAAATATGCCAAGACGGTTTGAGCGGTGGGGAGTCATGGGTTGGCGTCGGCATCCCTTTCTGCGCTCTCTAGGGGAGCGGTCACGTCAATCTGCGTTCGCTTGTGCTACTCCACTTGGCGTATGGGACCTCAAATCCCGGTAACTTCTAATCACCCTCTGCAGGAAACACTTTGCGCGCTGATCTAGGGTTAACGTGGTTCGTCTTCGGAGATCGAACGTGGTTCCTTACGTCTAACCTGCCCTAGCTTCGGCTTTGCGGCGGGCAGTGACGAAGGTTGAAGCGTAAATTCAAGTCCCCTCGGGGACTACCGGCCTCGGTCGGTGCTGATGCCCAGTGATTCGTTGCGGTCGACTCGGCTAGGGGTGATCGCGAATTTTCATAGCCTGGCTCCTTTTCCCGTCTTCTGGTTCTGCGACACAAGCAACTGCTTAGTCCAGGCCATTCACATATGCTCATGTTGTTCAAAGTTTGTACTCATGTTTGTCAATGCTTTGTGTCCGCGACCAAAGTCTGTCGAAGGTCGGAAGCCGCTTCGCGGCCCTTTAAGCTCTTGCGTCACAGCAGTTCGCTGTTACTTCGGTATCTGTTAGCCGGACCTCCGCTGTCCGTGGGGGTTGGGCCCGATAGCGTGTATTTCGCACCCTAGCCTGCTTAATCCGGTCCATCGCGCTTGTCCCCGGTCAAGTGTCATGTCTGTAACAACCATTCCCTATCAGTATCATCAAATGCATTTCTTTGAGGCTTCTTCGCCTCGGGCCTTCAGCCCATTTCATGCCATCTCGTTACCCCTCAGCAGTACTTTGGAAATCGCGCAACATAGTGAGTTTATTTAAATTAGTGCAGTGATTCTCTTTCGTGCGCGATAATTCGCGTGTTTGTGTCTAAACGTGATAAATAAAGCGTGTCTTCTACGGATCTGTATCTAAGGCTATACCAAAGCTAAGATCGACGTCTTTTTAGACGTACATGTGGATCCCAATTGTAGCTTTGTTCCCAGCGACAAGCCCAATACAGGTATTTATAACATACTTATTTTACATGATTTCTAATAAAACTATTTTGTACTAATGAAAACCAATATGAAAGAAATAGATAATTAATAATTCTGTTTACACTTTACAGAAACAAGAAATGTGATTCAACACCACGAAGGTTAACTGCGAAACGGTGAACAAAGATGAAAGCAGAACATCGATAATGTTTGAACGAGTCCTCGTGATAACTTAGGTTTGTTCTCAACGCACTACATGTATTCATCGTTTACCTATGCTAATTAAGGGAAACGAGGGCTAAAATCCTCCGCAGATTAGTTTTTTCTAGTACCCCTCTGAGAGTACCATCATGTATGAAAAACAATGTGTAATTTCCTCTCCTTATTAAATATTCCCCCACTGCATTTATTAACACCCTGAAATATGCTGATCTAACAATTTATCTCACTGTACTGTAAACGAAGTGATTAGGTAATGTCTATCCATCCGTATCGTCCCCGTATATATAAATATATACGACATACATAGGAAAACGTCGAAGTTGAATTTGGAAATTTTCCCATGAATTAGCCGAGTCTCGAGGCGTCGCGACGGTCAAAACGGCGGGTAAGCAAACGCTTCGTTAAACGTTACGTCGCTCGAAGCAATTCGCAGCTTTGAACGACGAGCCGCTCGGGGCACCGTCCTAACTCTAATAGCATCCGCTGCCTTTCGTCCTGCCTGCCATCTTGCCTATACGCGGAATTGCGTTTCGAAAGCGTTTTCCGTCCCGTTACGAAATTGGCTTTTAACCATCCGTTTGCCTACTTACTCGAGGAGTAACCTGCGACTGCCATACGAAGGACTAGGAGGAGGAGGAAGCAGTCCTCCAACTGGAATTGGTGGAATTGGGCTTGGTATAGTATTACATAGGCGTTATAGCATATATATGTGTTTACCTTATATTGTGTATAATATATATACGTAACAGAGAAGGACTCGGGGAATTTCAGTGGCTACTATCGCGCGTATAAATCAGTAACGCAATTACCAGGCGTTACAGCGCTCGCGCAACTGCCACTGCTAGCGGATATCGAATAAAATGCGATACGGACGGTTATTAGAGCCGCAGGTCCATTTCGTATATAGCAAGTCGCTAATTAGCTTCGCCAGATGGACACATCGTTTGCGGTACTATTGGCTTAGTTAGCCAATAAGTCCCGTAGCTATATCGGAGACTGTTAACTGTTATCGCATAGGGAGTCCATGTGACGTCATCAGTCCCCCTTACTTTCCTTCCTTAATATACCTTTACAGGCTTTCCACTTATTTGACCATCCCTCAGCCTATTTGACAAGGCCGGGTAAATAACATTGTAGCCGACTGACGTCTCGGGACAGTGATGCAACGATTAAGTTATTTTAATACTTTTTTTTATAATTGAAGATAACTTTTAAAAATTTGAATTACGTTGGAAACTAACTGTTGTATGTTTTTCAATTGTCTCAGGCGCTGCCCTTGCGATCGTGCGACTCCGCTCAGGAGTGACTTCCGAGGTACATGAGAGGAGGACATGAACTACACGCAGGGTAAGTCCATTTTTAAAGAAATTCTATTATTCTTTTTATCGGACGAAAGTATAAAAATGTAATTTTGCGAGGAGTTCCATAACATTTATAAAGATAGAGGGGAAATACATAAAGCTCCGTACGCTTGAGCGCGCAGTCGTCAGTTCGCTTCGAGACAGTTTGGAAATTCACTTAACTAATCAAATACCGCTAAAACCGCTAAACAAGTTAGGTTAGGTTAGGTTAGCAATCTACGTGCTCCGAATGTGTAACTCCCCCGCACCCCACCCCGGGAATATGGGAGTCAATTCTCAGAGTGCGAAAACTGCTGCGTCTCCCCCGTAAATGCCAGGAGAATTAGTATTGGCTCGTAATAAAGGAACTTTGCCAATAATATTGCTCCAGGTGTATCGTATTGCAGTTGCATTGGGCGTCCAGAGAGGTGAAAGTTCACGGAGCAACAGGGTCATTCTGACGTAATTCAAAAAGTGAGGAATGCGCCGGGTTCTGACTTCTATTCGCGTTACACCTTACGTAGGTTCTGCTTATCCTCTTTCATTGTAATTGAGCGTCTAGCTGTGGCTGCTACCAGGATAACTCGTGGCAAGATCCTTTTCTCCTGTCGCACAATGTAAACTCATCGAATTCAATTAAAGCCCGAGCTAAGCGCAGTGTCGTCGACACGGCATTCAATTAGTCCTGGAAATACCAGCAGCTAACTGGACGATATATGCGGCATTTCGATATTAATTCGACGTCGTAAAAACTCAACTTACACTCGCTGTTCCCGTTGATCCCCGTTCATCTCCCTTCATCCCCCTTCATCCCCTTAATTCCTGTCGAACTGTCCTTGTCGCATTTCTTTCATTACTTTTTTTTTCAATTCACCCCCGGATCTATCTCTCCATCGTATTCTAGGTAATTTTTTCTGTGCCCTAGTTCACACGTTACCGGTACCACTCTTTGCTAGAGGCTCGCTACTGGAAATGAGAATTCAGTCGCAAGCTGGCGAGACGCGAGGGGGTCGGAGGAGAAGGAGGGAGTGGGGGGTGGTTAGTCCAGAAACACGAACGTCGA